CAAATATCGCACTGCAAATGATCGAATAGAATCGTTAGCTGTAACAGTTCGTCAAGCGTCAGGTCATGTTCTCTTGGAGTACCTTGCCATCACCATCGAAATCAGCCAGGTGAATACTCTTGCGTTCTCTTCCAATGTTGAAGATTTCCGGGCCCTCCGGGACCCAGACAGGGGGCTTATGAATATTGCCATAGAGCAAACCGCGCCCGGTAGGGGAGACCCAGATCTAGAAAAGGATTAATGCCGGTCTGACATGCCAAAGAATAACGAAATAGACGTACATAATCATCTGCACCAGTGCCACGCCAGTCACAGTAGAAATCGCCGTCGGCTGTTTGATCATGTCAGCCAGACAATTGTCAAGGTATGGAAACAGCACACAAAGGAAGGGGAGAGAGAACTCACCTTTTAGAGTGGTTCCACCCTTGCCTGTATTCTTCCACACATTGGTGTAGTGGTTGTACGTCTTCGCATTCTGTATGGATTGTATCCACACATAATCGGCACCACCTCCTGGATAAACCTGGCCGAACTTGATCCGGTCTCTGGCACCCTTAACGCCCATACCCGCATGTGTAACACCAATTCGTCGCCATTCTGGGACCAAACTACCCTTTCCTGAGCCACGCTGATTGATATATGTGGTGACCTTTCCCTCTTCATCTAGCCAAAGCCAGTCGGAGCGGAAGTCACCGTTGATATCGACCAGACGGACACCTCTCAAATCGCCCATACCTTTGCCAGTAAAGACGACCCCTAAGTCCTGCCAATAGCCACCAAATTGCTTTGTTGGGGCGTCCTTCTGGCCTCCGTTTCTCCAGCACTGGATATCACCATTGTTCTTGGCCAGACAGCTAGTCGAGGAGTCAGTCTTTATTCTACATTCACGTCAAGCAAACTTACTAATCAATACGGCCATCGCCGTCAATATCACCGAGTCGTACATTGGCTTGAGCCAGATCCCCTCCGGGTGCAGCTCTGACCAGCCCAATGGACTTGAATTGAGGGGGGCTGCCCCCTTGGTTAATTGAGGCATACATGGCACCTTCCCTACTGATACAGATGAAATCATCCAACCCATCATTGTTCAGATCACCCCAATGTACGCCTGATGCCACCATTAAATTAAGAACAGACAACAAACAAATTATTCACTGGGGTACTCACCTCGGGCAAGACAATTATCCTTCACATCGATTTTCACGGGGTTTCCGAATTTGCCGTTACCATTATTAGGGTACATCCAAGTCCCAAGGCCGTCTCGAGTCCAGACAAGCTCATCGAGGGCTCCCTCACGGTGAGCACCCCCCTGATTGACCAGCTGGGCATAATTGATACCTGGGTGGGTATCCTCCTTTGAATTAGTGATGCCAATCTGCTTGATTTGCCCCATGTGCTGGGAACCATGCTTATAGTCACCGTCATCCCAGCCACTACCGCGTTGGGTTTTCACCTTCCCTCCGCTGTTTCCACTACCGAACTCTTTCTCGCAGGTTGTGTCGGCCCAGTCACTCTCTCCAATGTCCTTAGGCTTTTGTAAAAGCCCTCGGGATTCAGCTTCCTGAATTGCAGCCCACCATACTGAGGCCATCTTTTCATACCCTTTATCTGTCGGATGAGTACCGTCGACTAGCTCTGACACTTGAATAAAACCATCACTCATCTCTGCCAGAACCAGACGGTCGCCTTCTTTAATGCGCGTAGCTGCGATATTCCGGTATTGCTCATTAATCTTTACCACATTGGCCTGTGCCTTGTCGTTCTTATTGGGTAGTAGTGTCGAGAGAATAATAGTCGTTCCAGGAATCGCATCATATAGACGAGTGAGCATTTTATTCATCCTTTCTCCAGCTGAATCAGGCTGGACAGGCCTAACCGCATCATTCGTGCCAGCACTGCGATATCAGACGATCAGTATGTAGCGAGTATTAGTCATGAATTAGGCGCATCATACTTAATGAGAATAAGATTAGGGGCCTTGGGAATGGTCCTTTCAGCCGCTTCGGCGACCTCGGAAATGATCCATCCGGAATGCCCTTCGTTATCCTAAAAGCGTTGCACGTCAGCTTCCTAGCGAGTTTGTAAGCCAAAACCACCGACGAGATGCTTACATTGTCCTTCATGTCCCCACTTTTCAGCGAGCCAACCATATTCACCTCCCATCCAGCAAATCGGAGTTGCTGGCGCAGCACTTTACGGTACCCATTTTCATCAGATGACTTGAGACCCGTGGTGATCGAAGCCCCAAGAGGCATGATACGTAAGGGAAAGGGTTTCCCATCACGACTCCCTAGCTGGGGGACAAGATCAGAGGACCTGTGTTGGTGAGTGTGTTGGTGGCCATGATGGCCCGAAGGAACGGCTACAGTCAGAGCAAGCAGCGTCAGACCGATGATGAGCAGATGTAGCATCCGACTCATTCCAAGCCCGAATCCCATGATGATGATTCTCGGGTGGGACTGTAGGCTCTAAGGAGAAGGCACAGAATTAGGAAATTGTTGTCGTTCACCTTCATTATTTATATTTTTTGACTGCTTCTATCATGATGCCCTAGGGGGTGCAAGCACAGGGACCACTTCCCCTTCTTAGACTTTTGTCTCATCGTTTCAATCACACATCAATTTTACCTGGTGGGGTCTTGTCTTGGCATTCGCCGATTTTTATGATGCCAAGACAGTTCGTTGCTCTTGCCCTTTGCTCTCGTTCGCCAATATTCGTGGTGTTGTAGACCTACCCGATGTTATCTCCAGGTGAGGACGATACGGTAGCAATGGTGGACCAGCAGGCTTGGCTTGAGGTCCAAACGGAAGTGGCATCGAGCTTGTTGGCGATGCCAAGATCTCGCGCTCCACGCGACCAACAATCCCAAATGGCCGGATTGGTCAAATAATCGTGTCGTCTAAGTCTCAAGTAATGGACTGTATCCCTGGTGAGACAGTTTCCACTTATAATTATCTCGTCTGCGCCATCCACCCCTGGCCCCCAACCGCCAAGGCAGCCCTAATGGCATAGACGTGGTTCCCATTCGCGGGTACCTGAACATGGCGATGTTACTCTGGGCTCGCTCCACAAAATTCCATCCCTTGGCAGACGAACTATATCTTACTAAACAGATTCTTTCTTTACTACCGTCGTGGAAGTTCCCTTCACAAATACCATTCATTTAACTACATCAGTTCAATGGTACAGATGGCATAGACTACAGTAACCCTCTCAGACCACTGTATTGGTTCATAAATCGGAATTATCGGCTGATTTCTAGTTATTCTATCTGCTCTGCTGCCTTGATAGACCCATATTGTTCAACTCACAACCCCCTATCTTAAAATACAGTAGCGCAATAACGAAAATAACCGAGGAGAAAGGGTTTACTAACATGTGCAGAATTGCCACGACAAAGTTGATGCTGAGTCAAAATGACCATGACTCCGGGGAACTACTCTTCATGTTTTCCAGAAACGCGCTGAAAGGACATCTAATTATAAAGTGGACCGTGCTTTGCAGGGTTGAGCGGAGAAAATAGATATCTTTAAGTAATTAGATCCGACTTGGTGAAAAATATCACTCCTGTCTGTGAGCAAATGAAGCGGCTGCACCGTCGTAGTTACGACGTATTCTGTGTCTCGACCATGCAATTATGCTTTTTTTATTGATTATTCAATTATAGTTAACTACTTCACTTTCTGTTCTTATCGGGATATCGTTGGAACCAAATTCCTGGCTGCTTTAATTATCACCCGCTCGGGTTGATGATCACCCCTTGCCCCGCAATATGCTATATATAATCACACGACAACAAAAGCTATACCAGTACAGTATAAAAGAATACCATCTAGAGAATTAAGGAAGGGGCTAAGGCTTTGATATGCATCATGCTGTACATGCCGCGATCTACCCTCATGGGGCATGCAGCTCTTGGAGATACAATGCCAAGTGAGGCTTCTTGTGCAGCTAAGGGTCAATCATATGGCGGATGCAACCTCGGCAAAAGCACTGTGGAAGCCCCATAGAGGCTTGATACAGTGCCAAGTGGAAGCTTGTGCAGCAGAGCTATTGCTGTCGTATTCCACTGCCTCGTCTATGCTGTCTGAATGAAAGTGGTTGAATCATGTTGTCTGCAGCCCATATCGCCTCGTTGCAACCACGAAAGTTGAAGATACTGAAGATCCGTTATAATGACACGCTGCTGTTCAGGGGGTTTGGTGGGGACATTGGCTGTTTGTCGACTTAGCTTATTGTCCAGGCTTTTTATCATCCGGGCTACCCGTTAAGGTTGAGGGAAGGAGAAAAATGTCGAAAATCGCCCCCAAAGAAAAAGATTGGAAGACATGGTGTGGGTCGTGTCCAAAAAGCCAACCGACGGAATCCGTTTCTGCTGGCTGGTGCGGTGATTTGTGGGCCTGGAAATGAGTGTTGCAGCCAAGTCCATTAGTTTAATCTTGCCTTGGAAGAGCCGTGCTGGTGCAATCTTTCATACGAGAAAGCCAGTTTCGGTGAAATCATGTTTCCCTCCGGAGGATTTCGAATTCCGAAAAATTATGAACGAAACGATCAGTCAATATTCATATTCGCAAGGCTGTATTATTATTATTCAGATCCGTACAAGCCTTGACGGTCTAGATCTTCTCGACGCGATACTCCTCGCAGACCGCATAGATTAGGCTGAAATGATCGAGTCACACCCCTCGCGGAAGCCCCAGAGAATGCCCTGATGCGTGACTTCCACTTTGACTCTTTCTGGGAGATACGCGATTTTTACTGGAAATTTACTTTTGAAGGAGGTATGTCTCTTCATCGTTCGGGTGCGTTGGAATCATGAGATATTGGATATTCTTCAATACATTCGCGGGTCAGTGTGAACAACATGCTCGTGACTCCTTCGCTCTCTAATCTGGGCAGATGGGATGATTTGATACCCAGATTCTCTCAAGCCATAGTGGATATGCAGGCACTGTTTCACGAGATCTATTTGGAGTGGCATTATGAAAATGAGTGAGTCACTAGACAATTGTAATTGTTGATTCAACGGCCAGCTCCATAGCCGTCCCAAAGTCTCTTGGGTCAAACTCTAACAGCCCCAGTCGTTCATAAGCCCCTTGTACTCGGGGCGATCGCCCAAGAACAATCCCAGTAATGCATTCCAATGTCTCATACAGTATAACCACCCATACCGCGGGATACGCATCTTTGCCTGACTTCGGCTGGTACTTTTCATGAGCATACCTCCGGCACAACGTGGGTGCCATAGCGCCCGATTCCAAAAGCCCGTCTCCAGAACATATCTCCATGTCTGCCCTGAAATGTAGAGATTCCACAGACACTTCACACCCCGGAAAGTAGGCTTTGAAGAGCTCACGTTTATTCTCACAATAAAGCTTTATCTTGCGAACAAAGCCACGCAGCTGCACGAAGCCGTCGGACACTTCGCCAAATCTGTTTCGTCCTTTTAATGTTACGCCTGCATCGATCACAGTGGCGACGGTATTGAGAACCCTATCGCTTGAATACCCAATGGCCTGCCTTGTTGCAACGGAAGCCCAGGACCATGAGGGGGCGATATACTGTCGCGGCGGGCTCGTACGTTCCGCCGTCGACGAGTAGGCAAATTGCCAGCCTAAGTCGGAAATAAGGGAGCTTCGCCAAAGACCAGCGAGATATTCGTCACCCATCTTTTGAGCGACCATATTTGCAATGCCCGAAATGGCTGGGAGCTTATCTGAAATGTACGTCAAATCTCGCTTGGTATAGGCTTTCACATATTCCCGCCATGTCCAGACTGTTTGATCGAAGCTGTTAGCGAGTCTGCGATTCCCAAGCAGCTGACGTTCGTCGTCATGTAACATCCGACACTCCCAGACTACCCTTTGGGGAAGGTAGTGGATCGTACGCCGCGCGAGGAGGTCTTCTTGGAAAGTCCATCCTCTTTGATACAGCACCTCTCCCCATCCCCTGCTCGACACCTCTTTTACCTGGACTGGATGTAAATGGAACATATCTTCTGGTGTTGTGAGGCGTGAAAAGAGATAAGACTTGGACTGGTTTTTTTCTGTAAAGTCAAACTTGAATCTCTCCTCACACTGCGCTCGTTGCCTGAGAATTGGTGTTTCTGGGTCGGGCGATGAAGCAGCCATAATAGTGATATGCGCGTTTTCGAAAATGCTAGCCATATTCTGAGACTCAATTTCCCAATCTTCATTATCGTCCTGGATAATACACAGAGAATCAATCCAGATATAATCAATTCTCAGGTGGTTGGTGATCTTGATCGCATCCTGAAAAAGCGGCGGGAGCCTATGCCAAGAAATGTTATCTTGAAAAGATGAATAATTATCCTGGGTAAGGATTAAAGCATTACGATTGCCTTTCCCCCAGCAGTAGCTTAATGCTGTATAAGCTCCCTGCTGGTCCTGTGGTGGCTCAACAAGCTTGCAACTCTGATTTTTTTCATTTACTAGCAGAAGTCGCTTTGGCAGCGGCAGTGGATCCAGGGCTTGACAGCTTGTATGAGTTTTCTCACATTCAGAAAGACAGTTAGAGATAAAGTCATAGACACCCTGATCATTTGAATGGTTAAAGATCATGGGACCACCGCCTATAAAGGGCGTTTTGGACCAGGCTGGGACATCATTTTCTATGACTATTAGCAACAAATATGGATGATCGAGTGCCGAGCAGAGGCACACACCAATATCTTTGAAGACTTCTATGCAATCTATCCAACGATCGTGATGAGTGTCATGGATGTCAGTAAGATATAACGGGTATCCTGGCTTCATCTTGAGGTTGAAACGTCTGGGAGGCTTGGAGTTTCCGAAGTGATGTCTGAAAACCCGGTTGAGAAATACACAAAACTGGCATTGATGGTCAGGGACCCAGTCGTACACATGCAGGTTTAGCCACTCGTCACTATCTTTGAAATAGAAAGGGTGGTGACCGTAAGGGGACAGATTATTGCAAATTCGACATCTTCTTCCAAAAGGGTAATGACCATTTCTTCCGCGTGTCTCCAGCTCGTATCTCTCCTTCCTTGCATTGTAACTCTCATCGACTAATTGCCGGTTTATTTCAAGTCTCAAGTCGTACATGCGTCTCTCGTAGTTACTTTTGGGAGACATTTTCCGAGACCATGACCCAGGCCACTTTAGCAGAAGCTGGTTTGAATTCAGATATTGAGCATTGTGGGCAGTTCCATTATTTTTTATCAAGAGCTTTTGACAGTACACTCGACAGCGTACTCCGAATTAGTCCTTTGTAGCAATATGGTCGCCATTATATTTCTCCCTTATTGTGCATGCAACACATTTGAAACCCAGGCTAAAATCATGTCTTTCTCCGAAACTGATTTAAATGTGGTGAAGGCGGGGTTTAAACAATGCAAACAGTGCAATTCCTGGCACGATTACATAGCCGTCTCTTACACCAGCAGACCCACCCGCCATTCGGCGTGTTGGTCTGCCTTACCTCAACGCAAATTCCCACTTCAACGCAAAATTTGAAGCTATTCAGAGATTTTATCACCACCACCATACCTGATTCTTATTCTGATATTGAGAAACGGATCTTAGAGGCCTGTACAGCTGCTCAAGGCCAAAAAAAACCAAATATCTCTGTATTGGTGTGTTAGTTTGACGTTCCTTATTATTAACTCAGAGTATATATTTATAGCCGAGCTATTCGAAATATATATCCTATCTTAACCAAGACCCTTGATAACTTACAAGAAAAGGTACTAATCTGTTAGATTTGTCAGTTAGATAATCTATACTGTTCTTCTACAGCTGGAAAAATTGAGCAGAGTACTAACCAAATACTATAACAGAATACTATCGACAGACTATCTCGTACAGTTGATAAGAACTAGGTTTATTGCTTTATTAAATATCTCCCGGAGAAATTCAAGCTTATTCAACAGAGGCCAAAAGACAAGAATTATCTAGATATAGAGAATATAGATATTCTTCAACACTAGTATAACTGCTTAGAGTTCTTTATCAAGCAGATTTCTCCTAAAAATAAATACAACTTTGATAAGACCGGATTTTAACTAGAACAAGGAAAGACTTAAAAAGTTATAACTACTATGTCTTTACAAGCTGCTAGAGAAAATCTATTTAAAGAAATAGATAAGCTGATCTCTACAATAGAGTATATTTTAGTAGACAGTTTTATTTTTTCTCTATACTTTATATTCAAAGATATATATTATCTGGAGAAATAGTACAATACAGATATTCCTAATAAATATCGAATAGCTCTATCTTATAAAGGCTATACTTCAGATAAAATTGGCCTTGACTGGATTCAATATTTCTATTGTTATACAAAGTACTGTATCTCTAAAAAAGAGGTTCGATTACTATTTTTTGATAGCCACGAGTTCTATCTTATCTACGAATTTCTTCAGTTCTGTGGACAACACTATATTATACCTTACTGTTATCTGTCTTATACAACATATCTTGTACAGTCTCTTGATAGATAATCTTTTTAATTCTATAAGTATCTCTATTATAAGCAAAACAATAAGCTTACTCAGAGAGATACTAAGATAGAGAATAAAAATAATTTCTTAAAATATATTTATTTTATATATACAAAGATCTTCAAACAGTATACAATCCGGGATATCTTTAAGAAATAAGATATATATTCTTTAAATTTAGAGCCAATAATAAAGCCTCTGTGTGAGGTTTTAGAAAATACTCTGAATCTTGAGATAATTACAATACTATTACTACTACTGTTAAGCTTATCACTATCATCTACAATATGCGGTCTATGTCGAAGTATTGGTAAAGCACAGAGCTTTATTAATAATAGCCCAGAGCTTAATCAGAGCTTTGTATAATATCTTAACTATATATTCCAGAGCTTACTAGAAACTACTAAACTAGCCGCTCAGTTTAAAGATAATCTACAACAATATCTTTATTACTGGAAGCCTCAATATAGATGGAAATCAAGGAAAAGGATCCAATATAATAGACCATTAACTGTATATAATACAAAACGCCATATTGCTGATTGTACAGAGGTAGAAAGACTATAGGGCCTCAGACAGATCAAGAAAACAGAAACTTTAGGATACAATAATCTACTATAACAGGGAGATATAGGGGATCTGCCTAGTATAGAGACTTGTCAGATGGATAAGGAAGACCCTAAATTACCTTATTGGATAGATACTCAAGGTGATATTGTATAGGAGTTTGAATAGCTTCAAATTTTGCGTTGAAGTGGGAATTTGCGTTGAGGCAGACCAACACGCCGAATGGCGGGTGGGTCTGCTGATGTAAGAGACGGCTAAGCCAACCATATCGACTGTCTTTGTAGGCGAGGTTATACTCTAGAAGGGATACCATTAGATATTGTATAATATAACCTTCCAAAATCAAACTTCTACCGGCCATGGCATTTCAGGGGCTTCTCTATGGTTTATGAACCATCCACATGTTCTAATTGAAGTCTTCAACAGCATACAGGAGCTCGATATCCTCCATATTGAACGCAAGTATTGTTTATGATGTACGGAATTGTTGGTTGATCACGCTGGCTTCAAAATCGAACTCACCTTCAAAATAAAGTCGGAAGTAGCGGGCTAGTGGCATTCATCACGGTGTGCCTGTGTTTCTGCCCGATTTCTAAATATCTGCTTCGCTAACCTCGTCGTCCTGTGTCATTTTTAACGGATTGGTCCAGTACAGAGTTTACATGAAGACTTCATTCTTCCACTCAACATTGCATTGCAGTTGTGAAATCGTTCTCTCTCCCTGACTCAGTGAGACATTTTTGCTACTGGACTGGTCATCTAATGTACAATGCTTCGCCACTTTCTTTGCCTGCTTGGATACCTGGTTTCGGGAGATCGTCGTTACAATTCGTGAAAGTGGAGCTGGATGATAATAACAACGCAAGGTTACTCACTATTTGGTAGGCTCGGTACATAATTTATAGACCCTCTGAATAGACATGACTATAATTAATATCTCTGTCTCAATTCTTCCGAGGTACACCGCCACTGTCCCCTCAACGACCCTCTTGTAGAGACAGTGTTGTGGTTGGTTAACCCCATCTTAGACACGGGTGGCACTGCTATGCCAAGACAGTGATCGACCACCAAGGCGTCCAAGGCCCCCCGCAGCAACAAATCGGCAGACTGCTACGAGCCTATTAGAAACCACTTGCCTTGTTTCTGTTGGACTTACAACCGGCTGTGTTAGCTCTCCTATCTTTAGGAGCGGAATTTTGGGAGGCCTCGCGTATATGCGTGTCTCAGTGTATATCTGATAGGCTACCGTTGTGTGATGATGGGACTATATCTTTCCTCGGCGAAACTATCCTCACTTATCTAGAAGGCCGGGGGAATTATTATATAAATGATTAAGAGCCTTTCCTCCACCCTATCCTCATTATTCTACAATCCCCAGCAAACTGAATCAAGCCATATCAATTACCAAATTTATCAATTATTCAATATGCGCGTTCTTGCCATCTTCGCGACCCTTCTGGCTCTGGCCTACGCTAGCCCCTCCCTAGAGCAGAGACAGCAGGGTAAGAACTGCAAGGTATGGGTTTTGTATCTTATTTCAAAGGCAGGAAGTTTCTAATTCTTTGACAGGAGGTCCATAGCCCCGACACCTGTGGCGCACAGTGAGTATTCAGTAATTGCGGACAATGCACCGGATAGATATTAACATGTTCATAGCGGCCTGGTCAAGTGTGACGGTTCAGGTTCATTTCTTGTTTGCTGCGTATATTACCCCTTCTTCATGTATTTTTTCAAGATCATCTGTCTGACTCTCTGCAGGAACGTTGCTATTAAGCGTATTGTGTCTAGGGCAGAAACGTATGGGAGGGGTTTATTTCAACGGCCTTTTCCCATATAGTATAATCCAAGATTCTCTATATTTTTTTCCAAGCCATCTTGTTTTCCTCGGATGAAGTAAATAAGAGTTCAGAAAACCCCGTGCGCCTTTTGGCTACTCTGGATGTGCTGATAGGAGCTAATAATGAAAGGGTATTTAGCTACGTTTGTACATAGTAGGACAGTTCCCTTGGGGCCTTCATTGGCACCTGGTAATTCTGGCAAGTTTACCAATTCCATGCGCTATTAACATAGACGAATAGCAGCCCACCAACGGCTTTTGCACCACAACGAGTTCGAGTATAGGCTCTTGGATTCAATTTTTATTTTAAGTCGTTGCGCCTTTGTATGACTCCACCACTATCTCAACGGGGGTTCTTGTGCCAATGCGAACGAGTTGCGAGGCGATATGTTGAGGATTTGCCTCGGCACCGTGTTTGCCCAAGACACAAGAAAGTAAAAGCCGTAGTCACTTAGTCACCAATGCGAGAACAGACTTGCAAAACCATGAGGGAGCTGGGTACCCAAACGCCTTCTCATCAGCAACATCGTGCTAGCGCTGTAAACCTTTGTTGATAAAAGGCCGAGTACAGGTCATTATTCGAATGTTAACCTCGGAGAGTGATTGAAGGACCTCTCGTACATGCAGGGCTTTACCTGCACATATCCAATCAACGATACCATTCTCCAATCCCCGTACTATTTGTCGACATGACATGGGGAAGAACAAACCTCTAGAAGTACGTCTGAAATCAGCGCTAACCTTACCTTCAAATCTAAGTCCACTCCCCCTCCATCTCCTTCTTCCCAGCCTCTCCCATCATACGTTCTAATAGTTGGATGGGTTGTATGCAATCGAGTGCTTGGCATAGCAGCGCAGGTACTTGCGAATGTCTTGCATTGCTTTGGCGATTATTTTAAACACGTCACCCTTCTTGTTGGCAGAGTATAATCATGGCGCATTTCAGGAGATGATACAGTATACAACCTTTCTAACGGGCTCTTGGGACATAACCCGATCGAAAGGATGCGAGACTAATACCGAGTGGATGGGATGCAGCAGCTTTAGTTAGGAATCCATCACAGGCTTGCGTCTATTGACATATGGGCTGCGTGTCCCAATAATCTCTAGGTTTGGACATATTGCCTTCTATCTTCAAGTCTACAACCAAAGCCCTGAGGACATCTACGGGTTTCCTTTTACTCCTACAATCATTATTCAATAGCCAAGGGCTATAGAGGCCTCAGGTCCAATCGCAAAAATTCTTCCTCGTGATTATGCGCGCTCTCAAGCTGCTTAATAGCGCATCGATTGATTGGGTGAAATGGTTACGTATCGGTGTTAACAGCCCTACTGCGATATTAAGGGCTAGGAGCCCATAGCGTTCTCTCGTTAGAATGGAAGAAATGTATGGGTCGCCCTTTTCTGATATAGCTACAGAGTTTGATGTGCGGGCCCTGTTCAATAATAGCGCAACTGCCACTGAGATAGATTGTTAGTTTACGCTGCACAAGGGGAGTTTTATCCGCTGAGCCTGAACAAAAGTATACGAGATTTGTAAAGCGATTAATTAGACTTGTTGTTGCGAATACCTATGGATATCGAAGTACCTGTCTCCTGCGACTAATCAGTTTTCGAAAGGATGTTCTTTCGGCAGAGATACTCCTCTCCATACTTTCAGATGAGAGGACCAGTAATCTAGGGTCTAGACCGAGTCAAACGAAGCTATTAGAAGCACAGGAGTAGAGCATGAAGTCGAGATTCGATTCAGTGAAGTACATCAAGCCTTTTATTTGTCCCGCGGGCCTTGCTCTTGAGGATAGTGAGGAACAGGACTTTAAAAGCACGGTAATATAATCCTGGAAGACTTTCTTAGGCAATCAGCAGAGTTGATCGGGTTCCCCGTTAAACCCACCCCGGGTTCAACCCTAGTCCTATTAATAGTTTGAACGTATAACAAGGTAGCCACTGATTTGTGAGAGAACGGAAAAGGGTATTTGTCTAGAGTTGTGTTTGGGGCGGGTTGGTGGCGTGTTTAGCGGGGAACACAATCAACGATGGCGTCGAGATGGTGTAGATTGACTTATACCATACCATAGTCATTGGTAATTTTCGTATAAATTAATCTGTTGTTTTCTGTTTTAAGCTGTCGGTATTTTCTAGCGCTGCCTCAATTGAAGCTATATTGGCAGGAGATATCAATAAATCGGGTGTCAGGTGATCAGGTGAAGTAGTTGCGTAATATCAATTCTTCTACGGATTTTTCCGATATCAATTTCCGATATATACTTCTTATACATTATTCGCCAGCCCTAAATGCCAAGTCACGCTAAACCAGAGAAGGATTATGCATAACTATGCGATTCGTTCCATACCGGTTGTATAGTATTTAAAAGTCACGTGAATACAATATTTGTACTTGGCATGGCAAGGTAACTATCCAGAAGCGTGGGTATTTGGACACAATATGAAGCTTACTCAGCCTGCTCGGCCAAACTTTCAACGAATCACAAGTTCTTTTTTAATTGTCAATCGCCACCTTCAATTCACAATATCAAGAATATTACAGTGGCGGAGTAAATTACGTAGAGAATAAGCCTTTCGGTGCTAGCCGTCCGTGACCGGCTAACGCCATCCTATGATATTCCGCCTCGTGTGTCCACTTTCGAGAAGATGCGTTAGAGAAGGGTCTGTAACACAGTCCTAGTACTCTAGATGCTTTGGTGACGTCTTGACAGGGTAACTCGGTGTATGTTGTGTTTTTTTCGCATAGAAGGTATACTTTATCTGTTCTCCAGTTTTAAGGATTCCAATTCTACTAACTCTGCCTCCATTGGAGTTGAATTGAATGAATTATGTTGGTTTTCTACATCTAAGAGACGGTGTGTCCCAAAATCGATCGTTGGAGTGGTTTCGATCGTTAGGCGGTGAACCACAGTATATAGCCCCAACCGAAAGTTTCCGTGTAAAACGCGTCTTCCGCGACCACGCGTTTTGGGGTAGTTCTCGCTCAGATATCAATATAATGGCGCGTGATCCCGACTCTCAACGACGTGGCTACTCTGCAGAGAGCTATCTCTAAATTCTGGAGGATAATCTCTATTCTATATGGGAACCTGGCTTAGAATTCATGCATGACAACACTCCTATACATATAGCCAATAAGGTTAAACGTTGGTTCCAGGATATCGGAATTTCTACTATTGATTGGCCTCCGTACTCACCTAATCTTAACCCCATTAAACATGCCTGGGCAAAGCTAAAAGAAATGATATATCAGCTCGATCCTGATATAGAGTCATATGAAGGCACTGAAGAAGCTTTAAAAGCGCTTTTTAGCGCTTTAATAGAGTGTGCGTGGAATGAGATATCTGAGGATTTTTTTACTAGGTTGGAGTCTATGCCTAGGCGTGTTGAGGCAGTTATTCAGGCCAAGGGTTGGTATACTAAGTATTAGTCAGCTAAAAAAATAGTTTTATAAAAATTCATTATTTTTATATATATATTTTAATTTACTAGTAAAATTCTAATAAAATGGAAGAATGGTGGCCGATTTAGAAAACTAGCCATTTGAATGATTCGGGCGGGAAAGGCGCCATACACGGAAACTTTTGCTCTAGAACTGTAACTCCAATTCTCACTGTAAAATACATACACAATACATACTACCAAAATAATTTCTGACTTGTTCCTGTCAACATCCCAGTATAAACATGGGGGACTGAACTCAGGCTTGTTAAATATAAATATATACAGGCTGATATGAGCTTTGAATCATAATGGCATCCCTAAATGTATTCCACGTGCTTATGAATAGACATCGAAACTTAACTCTCAGGGTCCAGGTGGGCCAAGGAAGTGAGAGTTATGATAATCCATAAGCTGACAGATCAACTAAGTGGTCTGACGTGGTATAATATAAGGTCATGGCTTCGAGCGTAATAGGGCAACTCTCGCATGCCGATCTCCTGTGAGCTGGACAGGCGGGGCATTACAGCTGAGGGATCCACCCTAAGATTGAAATACATAACTGATTTGAGGCGAAATTTGTGGCGGTGTACCTCCACTTGATTTAGTTCAAGTATCAGACATAGCTGGCGCGAGTGGCACTGTTACGCTGAGGGTTTAAAACAGTGCTAAGGGTTGTCGATTGCGATAAATTTCTAAATTATTGATCGGCCTGTTGACCACGACGCCTGTTTACCTACTACGTCCAACAAAATCCTAATCTGATGCAATCATCCCGCCTTGAACTATCTCCTTTAACAAAAGAGCATGTAGCAGGATACTTCTCTGTTGTTTCTGACTTTGAATTTGCAAAATGGATGATTGATCACCCCTGCGGCTCGCTACAAGAAGCCGAAGTTTGGATGTCTTCTATGTTGCCGGGTGGCAACCCTACACAAGAAACATATGCAATCCTCCTCCGCTCCGACCTAGAATCGAATACAATTGATGGGTGGAATTTGAATTGCGCCGAAGCCGAAGATAGAAGCAGTATTTTTGTACCCGGGGGATTTATTGGATTCATCGGTGCCTACACACTTCATAAAGTGCCGGAAGTCTATTATGGTATCCATCGGTCGGCATGGGGACATGGCTTCGCAACTGAAGCCTTACTCGCCTATACAGAGTTGTTTTGGCTGATTCACCCTGAACATTTTCGAATGATGGCACGTTGTGATCCTGAGAATGTAGCCTCAGGCCGGGTTCTAGAAAAGTCGGGTTTTGAATACTACGATTTTATCTATGGGGATAGATTTCAACCCTGGAGAAGACCTGCATTACGGGACGGTCTACGATTTGTCTTGTTTAGATCTGGGTACAATCTTTTCGCGGATTAGACGCCTATGTCTAGATGCTGGTGGACCACGTTGAACGTGCCTCTGGAGACGCATTGGGATATTAAAATCCAATAAATACTCTATAGGTTGAGGATGATGAGCCGGTTTGACATTTTTATATATTTTTACGTAGTTTCCCCAAGCTGTACAATTCAGCTGGTGATGGGATTTCAATTCATAGCATCTGCACCTCTGTACCAATAATACTTCTTATACAGTCCGCAATGGCCCAACACGGGGTATACATGTAGAGTTTAGTGTATTAAAAGAGGGGTATATACTGCTAACTTGCTGAGTTGGCAAGAGCTGTGCTGTTACAATAGGCCAATAGATAACTCTCTATAGAGGAGTAGTGATTAGACCCTTAGACTAATGTTTGTAAATATGTACAATACTTAGGCACAACATACAAATAAAGTGCTCGATGAGGGGGGCAATCCCGCAACCAGCATGAAATTGTGTATCACCAATACAGAAAATAACGCATGTGTAATCAGGTAACTGTTATTATATTACATTCATATGTTACAACAATTGTATAACTCTTGCATAATCCCTTTCCGGCTTAGCTTAGCTTGGCATTTAGGGTTGGAAAATGATATCTAAGAGTACCGTACTTGATCACCTGACGCACGTCCCCACCTGCTGCACGGATTTCTATATACACCGACTTTTTGGCTTCAACTTCAAACCATCACAACTCCGTCAATATAGGTTCAATTAATGAGGCGCTTGCTTTTTTAAAATCCCTAGATCCAGGAGAATTATTTAAATATACAGGAGTAGTCAAAAGATTCAGTATTGATTGTATAACACTCTCAAGATATCACCGGGATGTTATACATTCAAAAGAGAATTAATATAAAAACCAGCGATTACTCAACAGCCAGCAAGCCAAAACTCTTATAAATTATATTAATAAACTCTCTGAGAGA